CAATATACACAACAGTAGCTGTTGTTGTTAACTGTGACGTGACGAGTTGTCTATGACGGTTGACCGTAAACGAGTATTTCAACACGTTGGTTCAACCGCCTCTCATCAGTGAGGAATGCCATGGTCGGCAAGTTGCGGCAGCTAATGTGCTGGGTGCACCGGTTGGTTAACTCTGAGGCTTACTACCGGTAGTTTTTGCTTTGCTTAACGTTAGAGTGTAGGTTACTAAACCCATGAAATTGAATATTAAATCATAGAGGAGTTCGTGAATAATTCGTAAAGAGTCCAATATCAGTGATTTGTGAAGGAACATCGATATACAGTATTAATAGTATTAACTTCATGATACATTATGACCAATCATATACAAGTGTAGGCAATCTTGGCCAATCAGGTTCGCTTGACGATTGCGATTGGCTGTCACCTGGTCAAGACCGTGCACAGATCTCGGTTGAACCGTTACACAAATCAATTTGTAAAATGAGTTCCATCGCCCTTACGACCGCGGACATCCATGCCACCAGTGTGGCCGCTACGACGCAGCAGTGTCGTCATGACGATCCGATCCGTGTCGGCATGCCTGCAGTCGTCCCTGATTCAACCTCTATCGCATCCGAGCTAGCCCCTCGGCGCGCAAACGCCGCCGCGACCGCAGGCAAAAAACTCGTCGAGACCTTGCGCCCGTTCTCCGACAACGTTTGGCCGTTTGTGATGCTCTTTGTGCTCGCTATGTCGACCCAAGTCATCGTAGGTACTGTACCCCACCCACTACCAGGTAGTCGAACTGGAGCTCATGTTTCCTATCCCAGGCATCTATATCCTCGGAGCAGCGTGCATGGTCGCCCTCGACCATCGCTTCCGCGGGTTCGTCGCGGTGGAGACAAGCCCAGTATCGCTTGTGTGTATCGCCCTTCTGTCTGCAAGGACGTCCTTCGACATGTCGACTTTCTATGGGGACGCGACGCCGGTTCACACGCTGTTCAAACCCATCCCGGACCAGACCAACCTCGCAGACTTCGTCTGGATGGTCCTGTCCAAATGTACGTACTGATGATGTCTATGTATTCTCGATAGCTACTATCGACCGTGTCGCAAATGCTTGGGTGGGTCTCGTGCTACGCCTTACCAGTCTTAGCTTTGAGGCTGTGGTTGGGCTCATCCTCGTGTTGCAGTCCATGTACCACCCACGTACCCCTAACCGACTCACCACCGCCGGCCACGCGATCACTGTCACCCCTCGACTCCCACGTAAGATCCTCTTCCTACTCCCATCGTCACCTCTCACGTCCACGGTAGTCGCACCAGCTCCTACTGGTGCCAGTGAAGTCCGCGCCGCTGCCGCCGTGTTCATGAGTGGGGTTAGCTTTGGTACCGTACAACGACCGACGGCCGTCCAGGTATGTTTTGTAGATATTCCCTTGGCGTTGGTTGGCTCTGGTATTTCTCTCCAACAAAGCAGTGTCGTCCACCTACTCATTGTCCAATATATATATATTATATATGTATATTATTTGGTTCAACTGCTGGTGTTTCAATCGTATGCTCAAACTGATTCGTGGATACGATATATATTGGTATATTCTCAACGGGTTGTCGTATGTTGTAGCCGTCTGCTGCGGCCTAAGAACAACCCCTGACGACCCCATCCGTTTAGTACTAGTACTCGTAGTACTACTAGTAGTATGTAATGCACAATTATTCAGTTGTATACCGGTATGTCTCAAAGCACCCTCAATTTTAAAGTTGCTCAAGTTTCGTTGTGGTTGGGATGTATATAATCAAAGCAATTCAATTGGGTTTAATATGTGCACTTGATAGAGCAGGAATAAACCGCATAACTAATGTTGATGTTAACAATGTGGTCATATTTGGTTTAACCCGCCACGCAAAATCTATTTATAGTAAAACCTCCTAACGTTATATCTGAATTGGCCAATTGGAAGGTTAAAGTTGACTTTCGCTTTCAAACGACACAGGATGGACAGGTCAAGTCAATAGGTAGGTATGGTGGTAGTAGACATACCCAAGCTTACCATATCTCACTCTTCTTCCTCCGCTGGCTGGGGCAGGTTGCTCAGGGCCATGAAGTCGAGGAAGCTGCTCATGTTCGATCAAAATACAGAAACTGTACTAAGGTAAACCATCAACATCGCGAACGCTTTTTGTGCCCTGAAATGTCAATGTTTGAAGCACTCCACCACAAAATGTCCCTCGAATAATAAAAAACTAAGGGTAGCGTTGGAAATATAAATCCAGCTGCATTTTTTAGTGCCAACAAGTGCCTGAAATATCCCATTAATCGATTTGTATTTTGAAATTATAACGTAACGTTAAAGAATTGGTGAAACTTTTTTGGCTTTATATTTCGCGAACGGTTGTAATATCTTAGTTTTAATTTATGGAATAATAATACAAAATATTATACATGGGTGTCATGACGCATTTTAATTTGTACATGAACTCAATTCTACATTAAATTTGAACGCATTATAATAAGATACAAGTTGAAATTTGTATTGGACAACATAAAAATGAACCTAGTTTTGAACTTCAAGGTGGTTTCCTGATCCTTTGGTTGAATATAATCATATCCAACGAAAACACCTCATTACAGAATGAAGCCATTGGATTGGATATAATGACAACCGTTCGCGATATCGATGGACTCCGGAGTACATACTAAGGTAATCCATCAATATCGCGAACGACTACAGTATTAATAATAGTGTTGACGCCTTTTCAAAGGTGCAATGCAGCCAATAGAATTGCAGGTCTAAGGAAGCACAAAATTAATACCAAATTAACGACGAAAATGCCGCAAATTACATTACAATTGATGGTTCGACTTAAATTCACTGAAAAATGAGCGATTTCTGCTTGTGAATTGAAGTACAAGTGCCAATACCATGGATGAGACATCCGCCACCGACCTGCCGCACCAATCGTACTGCCCTCCAAGTCCACCCTGTATGTGTCCATGCTTCCGTATGCGTACACGAACAACGTCGTCGTCCATCTGTTCACTGGGTATGGGAAGATTGCACGGGTGACGCTGTTATGCCACAAGGAGTCCTTGTGGCTTCCGAAATAATATAGTTTTTGCGACTATCTATAATGGCGCCTCGGCTAATAGATTTCACGATATTCAACGACCTCGATAATAAATACTACTCTGGTCCAAAATAGTTTTTTCTATTGGCGGAATTTTTCTAAATATCACCCGATTTGCGATGCCATTGGTGCATCAAAAAGCGCAAGATCTCTGCTTTGATTGGGTAGTTTGCAAGCTTTCTAGAGCATTTTGGCTGTCGAGATATTGGGCGCCAAAGTTGGCGTGTCAAATGAGCCAAGTAGAAACATCTCGAAACATGAGCATTACACGATTGTTCATCGCCCCAACACTGCACCCTCTACGACACTCCCCTCCTATGCATCCATACCCCACCAACGTTCGTTGCGTCGAGCCTCGTCCCGTCGACGCGCCGCGAAGCGCAAGCACCCATCTCCGCTCCGATGAACGCCAAACGGTGTACGAAACAATGCTTAGCGTTTTGTCGCAAGGGGTACTACCCCGTGGATCCATTGTTCGTGTTGCTGCCCAGTTCGGTTGCCACGCGCTAACTCTGTCGCGAATTTGGTCCCGCGGACTGCAGTCCGTCCAAGAGGGACGCATGTGTGCCGATGTCGCGTCGAGAATTCGCAGAATTCGCAGTAAACCTCTATGATGTGATATTTTTATCGAATGTTGCGAATATAGAGTTTTAAGATTTTACTGCTTTAGGTAATACTGGACTAAAGCGAAAGCTAACGAACGAAGAAATTGAAGCAGCGATTCGTCAAGTACGTCAGGCTTCACGGCAGACCCTGAGGTCCATGGCCTTCAAGAGCAATATACCCAAGTCAACGAGTTTCAGACACATGAAAGAAGCGGCGAGGTTGAAGGCGCGATCAAGTTACGTCAAGCCCTATCTTACTCCAAGCAACCAACAAGAGCGCCTGCGTTTTGCCATGTCTTTTCTTCAGCCTCTGTCAGATACGAGTTATTTATTTTCAAATATGCACGAGTATGTGCATATTGATGAAAAATGGTTCTATTTGACTAGGGTTAAAAGAAATTTCTATGTGTACGAGGACGAAGCTGTCACAGCTCGATTTGTGAAGTCGAAACAGTTTATAAGAAAAGTTATTTTTTTGCGCCTATTGCCCGCCCTCGTGTTGGGGCAATCACTTATCGGCCCATGAGCTTTCGACTCACTGAAATTACGGATAACTATAACGTATTGTCCGGATAACAATGTCGTATTATCTGGATCGTTATGTGGTTACAAAAGGCCGTCATATTGCAATCTCCATGCAACAGCCACCCCTAGATCAATCCCCACTACCAGCACCCCCTACTTCGACGCCGTTGAGTCTGATGTCTCCTCCAATGACGGCTGCCAAGGGTCTAACCATTCCGTCCGATGGCCTCTTGCACGCAGTTCCAGTGGCGACGACGGCGTCGATTCTGATTCTGAAACCCACCAGGGTTGTGACGCAGGACCAGAGCGCCAGCTACAGCCAGGCAACCAGCTTGGCGATGCCATTGCATTCACCGAACGCATCCAAGCCTGGGCGCAGACTTGTGGTTTTACGGTTTGTCGTACTGGTCAAAACTTCTCAAGTAATATAACGCATCCTATTCATAAGGATAGGGTCGGGATTCTCTACCGCGCTACGTTCTACTGCAACTGAAAAACCCCTGCTGACAAACCCAACAAGTCCGTCAAAATGTCGTGTGGTTGGTTTGTCAAGTTGTGCTATAATCGTGAACTGCTTTGTTATGTTATAACAAAAGTATGTATGGAATACTCCCACCCCCTTGAGAACCATGCCGTTGCAGTCTACGGCAAAACGATTGTGAAGTACGAGCGACAGCTGACCCCAGCGGAGGTCGACATGATTCACGGATTGGGCCGCCATCATGTCCCAACGCAAAAGGTGCGGGAGATATTTGAGTCTCAGAACACAAGCCGTGTCCTTTCCACTGCCCTGCTCTTCCGCATAATGGAACGTGGACGGCGCATGTTTGTTGGGAGCGACAACGACAGCATGACAAGATTTTTCAACTTGTGCTTCGGGGTGAAGGCTAGTGGTGGGTCATTTGTCTTTGACATGGACCCACTGTCAAAGTTAAAAAGTTTCCATTTACAAGTACTGTACAATTATTACATTTTGAATTTTTTTTGTTATGGTTCACATACATTATTTGTTATTTATTCTAAAAATACAGAATAAACTGTATTTTTAGAATAAATAACAAATATAGCAGAAGTTTGTAGAGTGATTCGATGGCCAAGTATTGTGCACTGTACTCGGACTTTGTTCTGTGCGACGGCACACACAATGTCACCAAGTACGTGATGAAGCTCATGCCGTTTACGATTGTGGACGCCCTCGGCCGCAACACTCTTGTTGGGATCGCACTCGACTACTCGGAGAACTCAACAGTACTTTAATTCAGGAGTATATGTTATCACACTCTCTATTAGGTTGTTACCAACGGCCTGAAGACGTTCTCGCTTGGCTCAAGTCATGGTACGCTAATGACGGATGGCGGTAGCGCATACCCAGGTAGGGTACAACGATATTACGAAAATACTAGTACGGCATATGCGTATTATTACGTTTAGGAGCGGCAAGCGCATGCGGCATGACCCATGTATTGTGCACGAAGCACTTTCATGCAGATGTTTTGCAAGGATGCTCTGGTCTTGCTCAGTTAAGCAATGACTTCAAACGCGACTGCTTTACGATGATATACACCGGGTATCGTGAAGATGACTTCATCAAACGCTTTGCTGCTGCCGAGGAGACGTACGCACCATTCCCAGTCGCGGCAAGTGCTTTGAAGAAGATTTGGAACCACCGGCACAAAGTTTGTCGGTCGTACAGTATACAGGTAACATTAACATGCATTGTATGTACTGAAATATTTTAGGTAACATATTCACATGCAACAGCCTCGCGACGCAGCGAGGTGAGTCGATGAACTCGACCGTGAAGGGCAATGGTAAATACTCCTCCAAATACGTGTATAACTGTTTACATGCAGGGACAAAGAAACGAGAACTGCGGCGGTTCAATATGTTTGAGCTGACGTCTCATCTGCTAAAAGTCTACCTACGAACGACAACAGACGCTGGCGCTGGACGAGCTAATTTCGTGCGTCCAAAACAAGTGCTTGTGGTCGCCCTACGTTGACAGGCAGTGGAAGCAAAACTATGATGACATGCACAAGTATCCACACGTGCAACAGCAAGGTGACGTGTGGGGCGTATCGGAACACTCCTTCGTCGACATGGCAAGCGTAGAGCATTGCGTAACTCTTGGCGCCAGCGACGAGGCACCCTCGTGTACTTGCTTTGACTTCAGGTCAAGCCTAATTCCTTGTGTTGGGATATGTCAGGTATATTCACCGTAATTTCGCTCTTAGAAGTATATAGTACATTGACAGGTGATAGGTATTTCTAAGGCACGAGCGACCTCTGCAGTCTGCCATCTTCCTTTGCGATGGCATCTGTCCCAGCATCCACTGTATGCAACAGCGTTGGAGCGACTGAATCTTGCTGGCCATCACCAAATTCCTGCGTCAACGTCTGCGGCTACGTCTGTACTAGCACCTGCGGCGGGATATGCAACGTTTACCGTGGACATGTATCAGGCGGTGGTCATCCCACCAAAGGTTAATGTCCGGGTGATGAAGGTTCGCAATGCCCTAGCTCGGATGGAGCAGGCGATTGTGAATGACGATCACTTGTATCGTCTTTTTATTCTTAACATGGCGGCATTTGAAACCGGAGTTAGCCAGGGACTCGCGATAGGCACAGTACACTCCTTCCATGTGCCAATCCCAACTGCAACGTTGACCCTGCATTCGGGTTCAGTCAGCACCAACCATGTTCAACCACCACTTCGAAATACAAGTCGCAAGCGGTCAGCGCAGGACATCAACAGGTGTTGCATATCATATACTATCACATGTGCAGACATTTTTCTCATTTGCTTGCGCAAGGTCATTGTTGAGCAAGCAAACGACAAATCGCAAAAGCAAACCAAGTCGCCCATCCCTACAGCTTTCATCCAACGAAGTCTTCACGGCTGTTGTACAGGCACCAGAAGTCCCACCATCGGCTGCCATCCCACCTACATCCCTCCCATTCACAAGTAGTCAAGGTAAAAACTTGACATGTAGTAGTACCCCATGCCTGAAATGTCCTACTAGAAGCACCACCCACTCGGTGAAAACGAATTCCAAAGAGCAGTCGATCAAATGCATTCGTCTATAAATGATAAGCAAGTAGTCTTGACAAAGTTGGGTCGAATTTTCTGTTTTCACAGTGTAATTTTAGGAAGTTTTCAGAAAATTACCGTAATTGTTGGAATCTTTTCGAAATTTGCCGTAACATTTAGAAAGTTTCCGAAACGTTCAGTAACTTTCGGAAACATTTAGAAAGTTTCTGATAAGTTCAGTAACGTTCGGAAAATGCCTAAACCTTTCTGTAATATTCGGAAAAGAATAGAACCTTTCGGAAAATACTTAAAACGTTCTGTAATATTTAGTAAAGGTACTGAATGTTTTCTGCAATTTCGGAAAATTTCTGAAAGTGTAACCCGCCTGCGAGTTTTCGAAGTTCTTTCGTGGAACATGTATCAAAATTCACTATTAATTGTAAAGAAGTGCAACATGGCGATGTTTGATGCAAACAACAACTATTAATACAATATATCAAACTAAGATCGACGGCTATGCGTTAAAATGTTGCTGCTATTCAGCTGGGCTTCAACAAACAAGTCTCGTCGGGGGGGTTTTGTCTTGGGCTGGTGCGTACGAGGAGACGAGACTGCAGGAGCAATTGATAGGGGAGCGGGAGGAAACGCGATTGCAGGAGTAACTTCTCGTTGGCTTTGTGGCGCTGTTGGTGGAGTTGGGAGTGGAATTCCATGCTTGCGATGTAAGTTTCCAAGAATTTGAATGATCGTGCGAGTGCTTGTGGGCTCCGTGAGGTCCATGAGGGCTTGCAGGTTTGAGTCAAAGTCAAGTTCATCCGACACTTCTACAGCACATGAGTACTTTGTATTGAGTTCGTGAAAGATATATTAGTTCATATGTGAATGATCTACCTGTAGCCTCAGTGATGACATCAGGATCAACCTTTTGGCGGTAGACCACAAAATTCCGCCCCTCGACAAATTGAAAGTGACTGTTCGGGTCGATGATTTTCTTGTTTTCGTTGAACTTGACGTCATCAATGAATTGCTTCTTAGCCACATGATGCATCAAGTGCTTGAGCTTCTTCGTCGGTCTGTACGACACGGTGCTGTCGTCGCACAAGTTGCACGTCCTTGTCTCTCCATTGTAATAGCGCTCTTGGGTCGCCATCCTTGCTGAATTTTAACGGTCTGGAGTGTTGGAAAAGAATAATCCGGATTCATTATCCGGATTTTTCAGTGAGTCGAAAAGCGATTGCCCCTCGTGTTGACTTAAACGGCGCTATTTTCGATGGCAAAATCGGTGTTTGGCCGTTTGTCGAAAAAGTGCCTGCACGGCGCAACAGTAAAAATCGGTCAAAAGGCACGATAGTGACGACTCCACAATCAGTCGATGCTAAAGTATACTTGGACATGGTTTTAAATAAAATTGTGCCTGCGATACAGTCAAAGTTCCCACCGCAGACTGGTGCTATAATCCAACAAGATAATTCCAGACTAATCCAACAAGATAATGCCAGATAATGCCAGCCCCCACAAGTGCTTGACAACAAGTATGCTGAAGTCGCGAAGTATCAACGGAATTGAAGTGAAGATTCAGCCGCCGAATAGTCCAGATTTTAACGCTTTAGACTTAGGATATTTTAACTCTATTCAAAGCCTGCAGTATCAAAAGTGCACTCGAACGATCGAGGATCTTATTGATGCTGTAGAAACCTCGTTTTATGAGTTGCCTGTGGATGCGGTGTCAAAAAACTTTCATTACACTTCAAAAGGTGATGGAGAAATGCATCGACATACATGGAAGCAACGAATATAAGCCCCCTCATACTGTATAAAGAGGGACGCACTTATCTCAGACTTCACGTCCTTCAACGTTGAGTGTGATGCCTATACATACGAGAGTGCTTTGGTCCACTTGAACTATCGACTGGGCGAGGAAGCGTCCATGGAGGAACAAGTGAATTCCCAAGAACAAGCTGTTGTGTCAAATTAATAAAATATCATTGTATTTTTGGCCTTGCATATGCGTTTCTGGAGTTACATACAAATATCAAGCTGTTTCGAATTGGTCTCTCATACTTTAATAAAGTCAAAATGAACCTAACAACTATTTTGGACCAGAGTAGTAATTGTTTGCTACTGCAAAATATCGATAATTGTTCAAATATATTACTTCGAAGCACTACACCATTTTGCGTTTATTTTCAGCTTTATTTCAAAATATTTTCACCCACTCGCCAATATAGTTCACCCAACCTCCATTATATTTAGATAATGAGGGGTTTACGAAATGACTACGAAACCCTTTATAACTTAATATGTTCCTCACTTCGATACAGGTTTGACCCACACATTCACATTGCAAGATCCGAGGACACAAGAACCATGACAGGTACACATGCCATTCAAAGTTTATACTTCTTGATGAGATCATACATAGTTGGGTACGTCATCTCACTAGTCTACGATTGCTTACGTCGTTCTCCATCCCTACGACTAGAATCGAATGGCCAAGCCGCTCAAGACAAGATGCAAACAAGGCCGACCGGTCGACCACGGCCATGCGCTAGACTTCGGTTTCAGGTACAGTTGAGAACTTCATCAATGATGCAATGACTTGTTTGAACTTGGAGTAGTTCACGCGGTCGCAACGGCGAGCGAGGTGGTGAGGTCGCACGAGTCGCAGGGGCACTGTGCCATCGCCAGGTAAGCAGTGCCACCAAGCCTTCCACAGGTCAAAAACCTTCCCTGGCGGCAGGGAGGGCCTGAGTTGTTCCTGCGGGTTTGTGGTGGTCCACCAAGGCTCTGTCACGACGCCGTTGACACAGGCTGGGGGTCTGGGCACTTGGACGCCCCAATGAAATAGCGGATTTCAGACAAAACGGAGTCGCGGAAGGACTCCAAATCTGTCGTGGTATACGAGGAGTCTGTCGATGCGCGTAGCTGGTCACTAACTTTGCACGGTAAATAATTGATTTGTTCGTTGACAATTTTCAATTCGTTTTCAACCGTGGCCAGACGGTTTGTGATAGCAACGAAGGGTGGGATGCCGGAGGATCGTAAATTAGTTGTTGAGTTGTGCATTCGGCCCATTTCAACGTTGACGTTTAACTTTGGTAGTAACCCAGACGTCCAAATGGGGGCCAAAAACAGCGGATGGTGTTTGCCCAAATTGTGTTGCAGCCAAATGTAGTGGTGCGAGAGCGATGCCACCAAGAACGGAGTAATTTGGCGAAACGAGCTAGGGTAAAACGTGGGCTGAGCAGCTTCCCACTGCTCCTTGCTCAGCCCAACATCCTTGAAGTGCGGAGGGAGGCAAGAAAACTCAACGTCGTTCACATTGTGCCCTAGTGTGATGATAAGATATATTTGATTAATCACACATGTGTTTTGTTTAAAGCTGGAATATTGAACGTCGACTAACCTGCTGCTCCACGTCCAACGAACTGGTCGCCATCTGAACCGGCAAAAATGCATCGACCTTGGACACTTCCAAGCGTCCAACCGGCTCGGAGCCACACATTCACGGCTTCTGGTCCCCCAGGTGTGTTAGATAGCTCGCTGGCGACACGCTTTCGAAACGATTGCGTGCCGATGTCTTCAACTAAAACACCAAACGATGACATCGCAGCGGAGTGCAATTCACAGGTCTTTGACAGCCACGCTGAAAATCGTTCGCCCGCGTTTTCGCCAAAAACAAGGTTGGTCGACACTATATTTATATTATGGCACACTATCCGATGAAAATAAATGCACCTCAGAATCGGACAAATTGCTGGATTTCCAGGGTTTGCAAAGATGTGGCGAGGGGTACAGTTCTTCCCCACTTGGTCGCTCTTGGTAAACGCATACTGAACCACTAACGCATCGCCTACATTTCATGGTCCAACTTATTGCTAATGTGGTTATTATAAAAGGTACACCTTCCCATGCCAAATGGTCATATCTAATGGCAGCTACTGAAGCCGACCGTGCGATCAAGTTCCAGCAAAGCAGCAAAAATGGGTGAACCACTGTACTGAGGTTGTGTTTGGCTTCACTGCCAAGAGCCTTTGCTACCAAAAAGCAATATCCTATAAACTTATGAACAACATGTATATAATAGATATTATGTAAAATATATCGACCGTCAAACGTCATTTGTCGCTTTCCTTCACCAATCACCATGTCTCCACTGTCCTTGAGTTGAGCAACCTTACGCTTGTACCCGCATGCAAAGTCTGAATCGTTGTTAACGTATGAATCAAATCAAGGATTATGCACGCATATCGTACCTGCCAATAGTGTTTCCAGTTCATCGGACACGCGGACATTGGATTCTTTATACATGAACTTGATGGCGCTCTTGCATGAGTCTTGAACTGCTGTGGTTCAACCTCACCACCACTTGGTCCTCGTTTCACACATTCATACGCCAAGAAGCCTTTGCAGGCGATTGCATCGAGGGGAAGATCAACCTCACCATTGGTCATACAACCAGGATGCTCGCGTAGCAGCCATGCTTTAAGGCACATGAGCGTCCTCTCGTACTGATAGCGTGTCTTGCTACCATACCTAAGCAACATCACCTGGTCCCCTGTTGTTGAATCACCTGGACTTTTGTGGTCGGCGTGCGGCGCCACAGAGGCCGTTCGCTCTGGTGCTTGAATTGCAGAACAATGACTCTGAAACTGTCTCCGGATACAAAATTTCGTTCTATTTCGTAACCCATTATATCTCTGGATATAATTTTGGCATACAAATGTCAAATCAAATTATGTCCAGTATCTGGGTTTACGAAATTTCGTGTTTCGTATCTCCAATTGTATCCGGCACATCTATTTCGTAAAACATATATATTTCACACCGACGTAAAATATCGCCGTTATATTTCACCCAAACTGCGTTATAATTCACCCAACCGTATGTTAATTTCACCTTTCGAAAATATAATTCACCTAACAACCATTATAATTCGAGCTGAGAATCTAAAAAGATCGAAGCGCACGAAGAGTTTTGCGCGCTTTCGCCATTCTTGGATCTGAGCTCGATGGAAGAGGCCATCCCTGCACCACAAACTCCGGTACAGCTCTATGTATAGAATGATAGAATGATCACCGCTAACATGTCATTTCACAGACTAAAACACAAAATCACGTAATCGAAAGGAATTTAATCATTACATTGGTTACAGTTAATCACTCAGTCATTTCCAAAATAGGTACAGGCAGTGGTCGAAACCATCACATTTTCCAATATTACCCAATAAATTTCTAAGGGCCACTCTGGCTGCCACAAAAAATGTCAGAAAACAAGTCTTTTTGCAAGTTTTCAGAAATACTATGACAATTTTTCAAACGACAGTTTTTGTGTGTTTGGCTACAAATCTGACATATATAAAGTGACATAATATTTCGAAGTACTACTGTTTTCTGATAGAAAAAAGTTTGAACTGCAACTGTCCAATTTTTACCAGCATCTAATAATTGACCTCTTGACCAATACGATGCATTCGCGCGAAGGAATATGATCATATCGAAATTCACCGAATATGATCATATCGAAATTCACCGGATGCATGTGCTTTCTATGGTCTGTACTTGCGACGCTGAAGAACCGCTCAACCATGTTGCTCGTTGGAACAACAAACTTAAAGCATCTGTGCTTGCTTGATGCAGGTCCCATTTGGCGACGTTTTGGAGCCAAAAGTTCGTCCGCGTACCCCAACGGCGTACTGGGGGCTGCAACTGTGCCAGGGTCCAGCAGGAACATGACCAATGCATCCTTCTCAGCAGCAGTCAGGTGCGTAACGACAACACCTTCGCCACACCATTGTCAAAATGGTGTGCCGAAGGATAATTGGACGAAGCTTGAAAATAAGTTATCGATATTTACCGGCACTGAAAATAGATTATTGCATCCAACGTCACATAAGAAATAGATTATTTCTTCTATCTTATCTAGATTATTATCTCAAAGATATATTAAGTGACTCGCGCGTGTCACGGCGTGGCGTTTCTGCAGTTTTCGCAGCCTGAAGACTGCGAGCAAGCAAAGCCATGCAAGGCACAAGCCATGGTGGAGTCGATGACGCTAAGTTGCTCCATCTCCAACGACAACGGCCAGTCGGGCGACTTTATCAAGAAACGCAAGTACTCGTCCAAGAAAGTGTGCTTCGAGTGCACTGAGACGGGTCATTCCTCGTACGACTGTCCCCGCAACATGCTGGGGGGGCATGAGAAGCCCAAGAAAAGCTCCAAGCGACGGACGAAGTTTGAGCACGGAGAAGCCGCTACAGTACTTCGACACTCAGGACGACCACGGGTAACCAAACACCTTCCTTGTTGCTTGGTCACTAATGCCAGAATCTGTAGTGAGATTGGCAATGTGGGAGTAACCGACCTCGCCTACCAATTCAAGCCAGTTCATAGCAACAGCCATGGGGTTCTCGTTTTAGGCGCATGGTCCGGTTAAGCGTTATCCTGACATGCATCCTTATTTGAGGTTATTGTCAAAAATTGGATCGAAGTACAGCATTGCGTGGCAGAGATGAAGGATGGCAAGCGCAAAAGGGACTACAACAAAGAGACCCGGACGTGTATGTTATGTGGAGAGACAAACGTCAGCTATCGAAAAGATAGCATAGTTAAGCACTTGATCAAGCACAGATCAGACGAACATGCCCAGAGCATTGAATGGGCAAGGAACCCGCTGCAGCCGCGACAACACTTTGAGGAGCGCGAAGGTGTAAACTTGCCATGCTACGTTGATGACAAGTGTGACACATCGGACAACTCCACCAGCCAAAAAGGTAACATAGTTTATCATGATGTTACTGATATACTAGTGTAGAAGATGGTGGCGATGACTTTGACGAGCACTTGGAGCGCCTGGTTGCACTCCCTGCGTCGTTCCACTACGGGGTTATCATACAAATGCTGGGAAGTATTTGTAAACAACGCGGACTGCCTCTTCCACCAATGCATGTTCAACCCGATGCAACTGTTGATGAAGAATTTCAACCTGAGCGAACTGCTGAAGTTGAAGAACCACCGAAGCCAACGAAGCGAAAAAAGACCGACAAAGTGTCCAAGCTGTTGAAACATTTAGGGCACGTTTAGATGTGTTTAAGTAATAGACAGTTGTGAAAATTTTCGGACCTTAGATTGGTAAAAGTAAAGTGCAGCATACAACGAAGTATTTACAAAAACTTGCAAACTTCAGAAAACTTCAGAAAACTTAGGAAACTTAGGAAAACTTCAGACAACTTCAGACAACTTCAGACAACTTAGGAAACCTTCAGAAAACTTCAGCAAAAATTAGGAAAACTTCAGCAAGCTTCCGAAAACTTCCGAAAACTTCGGAAAACTTCAGAAAACTTCGGAAAACATAGCTCTATTTAGCTTTACACGACAAAGTTGTCAAACTGCTTAGCTCTCTGCAAACGGCCGCACGACGAGACTGAACTCTCAGAATGTGGCCTTGCTTCTTGGGTCGCACTACTTGGAGCCGAGACCGCACGTTTGCGCTTCCGAGGATGGCCAGTTCGGTACGACAAAACTAACTTGTTCGCGCATGACTTGCTTTTTTCCGACGATTTTTTGGGGGGAGCAAGTCCTCGAACAGCATTAGCTGCGGCCTGACGCGTTTCCTCAGCCACGTCAATTAGCTCTGACGGGGAAGTGTACTGGGGCATCGTGAATGGCTTAAGGCCTCCAGAGTAGCCAGATTGACGGAGGCCATCGACCGATGTTGACAAATTAGCCATAAATAGGCGGTACGTGTGTGGGGTACTCGCCACTGCATTTTCTATGCGAGTGCACATATCACGAATTTTCATGATTCGTTCACCTGTGGTCGCCGGCACTTTTACTTTTTCGTAACTCTGTATCGAGACGCCGCGAGAAATTGCGGGGGTGTTGGAGGTTGAATTTAGTACAGAATTCGAGGCGTCACTTGGTCGAGCCGCTGGATCGTTGATGTTGAGCCGACACAATGCACTTGAATACATCGGGTGGTTTCAAGGCGCCATCGTGGATGGAGGTTGGCCAGGCACAATAGGGGCATCAATTCGACAAAACAACGTAATATATATTTATAATACTAAATTATTAAATAATTGGCATACCTGACAGATTCCGGCACATGGAATCTTGCTACTCATGAACTCAAAGCAATCACAGCTCGGATGTCCTCCTTCCTGGCCAAGTACAATCCGATGCGCTGCATCCGCCATATCGTCGAAGTGCGAACCCGACACATACCAAATCCCGGCAACCTCGGTGACATGAGGCAACGTCTCTGCCTTCAGCACATTTGCTCGCCACGTCGTCAGGTCGTCGACGTAGTTCGACCAGCGCCGCTTCGCCACCAAAAGGGTGACCAATTCGTCGCATGCCTTGATTTCTTGTCGTTGAAATATGCTCCATAAATGCTCGGCCAACTGGAGAAGGTTGAAGCGACGCAGCTCTTTTTCTTGAACCCTACGAAACTATCACAGACTATAATACAAAGGATATTACCATTCTCTTTGATGACAGAGTTCATGCTTTCACCGCGCTGCGTGCCAGGCTGCTGCATGTGAGGACGCTTCCTGCCATTTATGTTATGGTTTGTAATGAAGCATTAAGATCGATAAATGAAGCATTGTGATAGATAAATATTATTTGATGGACATTAACCAGAAAAAGCAAGGTGAAACAGGCAAATTTGTATGAAGCGCAAGGTGAACCACCTTGCGAATTCCATAAATATTTCTGAAATTGTACAGTTTCAATTAAATATATCTTCAAGTTTGTATTGATGATTTTTATTTTTCATGTGTCTGTCTCTTTTTGGAATTCGCAAGGCAGGTCACCTTGCGAATTCAAAATTTTCCAATTTTGTCCAATCAGATGCGGTGAAATCACGAAAATCCCTGCGTAGATTCATCACGCCCTGTTGCGATATATTTCTGTGATGGCGGTTGATGCAAGGAGCCTTGAGATAATTGTAGGCTGTGTATGAGAGCAAGATCATGCGATGTGGTATTCAGGACTCAGTCAATTCTAACAGGTCTCATTTCACCACTTGCCTACTACTAGTAACCCAATGAAATTGGTCATCCCACATTCCACCATCCAGCCCGTGTCGGTGCCGTACACCTCCCTGCCGGTGTGATCACGTGGTTGCGCTACCGCGTTGGCCCACCCGAGCCACCACGACATTGCGACCCAACCGAGCGCACAACATAATGTTAGCTGTAAGGGGAGAACCACATTGGACATAGTCGGAGTGCAGTCATCAGTGCACAATTCTCTGAAGCAGCATCACACAAAGCTCAACAAAATTCAAAGTTCAAAATTGTAACGTCTTCTGTCAGTGTTATAGCCAATCATGTGTAAGAAACAAGGTGTGATGGATTCTGATTGGATATTAAAAAGGAGCAAGGTGGCCTTGCGAATTCCATTAACAAGTCATTATTTGATGGACATTACGACCTGTGAAGGCACGGCACACCTTTTCTTTGTGGCGAGATATACTGAGCAATGCCTTGGCCGGCTCCTTGGCTACACCATACTTGCTTCCGCCACATCAAAGCGAGTTTGAAACTCAACTTCGGACATCGTCGTGTACAGTAGCGACGTGCAATCCGCCTTGAATGAATTTGCCAGTGCACCAAGACCTGTGCAACCTTTGAGGATGACATTCTCGAAGTGATTAGTGCACAAAATGTGCACCATGCCCAAGTCCGACGCAACCCCTACTTCATATACATTGTCACCACCGTTAAAATCAATAGGAGTTATGTGTCGTGCATCGTGCACAATATATGACTATATCAATTACCTGGGTATGCACTGCCGCCATCAGTCATCAAGGTAGACCCCGATGCATGCAACTGACACAGCTCGAGTCCCAGTTTGACAGACTACATGATGTATTTTCTTAAATTTAATAAACACAAAATATATCGTACCTCGGAGTTTTCAGACTCATCTAACGCTACCCCACAAAGGACATTTCGTCCAAGACAACCGACAACCGTGAATGGCATCAGTTTCAGCACATACATCGACACGTTGTGTGTCCCATCACACAACACAAAATCGCCGTACGATGATGCGTACTTGATCATTTGGGGTTTCTATATTGGCGAAATTAGCATATATAAAGTCATGATAAATATTACATATAAATAATACCTGCATGGCAATGCTCTTTAACTGCAATGCTGACGTTAGGTTGAAATGGTACACACCTCCGATGGCTTGCATGGCATATCCCATTTAAAAAAATCGTCCCATATTATCAACATCAGGACCAAGATGCAACACACGCCCTCTGCCCTTTAAGCGAGACAGCAAACTAGGGCAATACATCCGGCCCGGGTACAACACTTCCATAATCTCACGCACTTTGGAAACGGGCAAGTTGAAACGGCCAAGTCCAACTACTCTGTCGATTTCATCCGGCTCCAATTGTTTTTCAAGCGACAACAATTGCACACCATGTCCAACTACATGCATTCCTGCAATACTGTGGTTGTGCGACAAACCTGAGAAGAAAAAATAGTTTAGATAACAGTTACATTAAAGTTAAATTACTAACCTATGGACGTAATGGAATAATTCAGATTGGCCTTGTCAAAACTGAACTTGATGCGCCACTGGCACGTCGACCGGCCACTGTACATCTCTTTCTTGTGCGTGAAGTATAGCGTAGAGCACCACATGATTGAACCTCGTCCGCCGTGTACGGGGTGGTGGGTTTTGTCGCAGAAATTCTTTCCCGTCCGTGAGACTGTGAACCCTTGGGCGCGTGCCCACGCCGGGACACTCGTGATGAATTCATTTGCGTCGATGAAGTTATGGTGCATAACGAGCAAGTCACCGAACGTCGACACGGTGCTCTCTGTGGTTGCATTGGGTCTGGTGGCTTCGTCAACCCCATCCTGGTCATCCAGTGTGTGTTCGCTGCTCATCCCGCTGCCTTGTTTTGAATGTGAGCATCGCAAATTCGTCGAAAGCGTGTGCGGACCATTCAAGCGATTCATCCGTATAATCAATCGGTATCCGGATGTTTTGAGATCTGTATAAACTTTGTATTCTATTTTTGACAATGACCTCAAATAAGGATGCATGTCCGGGTAACGCTTAACCGGACCATGCGCCAGAGGCGCATGCGCCTAAAGCGAGAACCCCAACAGCCATCATACTTCCAGCCACCATCCGACAGAAAGCAGTGGCCCTCCGCTCCGCCAGATCAAGAAGGTCTCGTACTTTAGTGACGAAGACGAGTCGCATTTAGGAGGAGGATAGCTGGTTTATTTAAGCTGGAACATTGGGAAAAGATTATTTTCGAGCAAAAACGATGGATTATTTCCGAGGGAGGCTTTGGGATGGTGCATTTTAGAGCGTACTTAGACTGTTGCAGTCTTTTCGAGCGTACTTAGTTGGGACATCAGCTGTTGTGATGTAGTGGATTGTTTTAGTGCATTTCGGATGGTACCTAAAGTAACATCGTACTGCATCCACTGGGACAAACCGGATTGATAGTGAAGTTAAGATATTCCCAAGTGGGATAAACTGGACAATGGATGCATTTCGATTCAATATTTTGGATACACACAGTCCACAAGGGGTTTGCAAATTGGCAATCGTTTGGTATCGCAAACGATTGTTAATGCGCAAACCCCGGGCATAGCATTACACGTACTGTACGTTATCCGGGGTGGAGACGTAGTCTCCGTGGGGGAAAGGGTACGGTTCTGGTGAAAGAATGCTGGGGCTGGTGACCATGATGACGTCAACAATTATTAGAGAGATTTTGCACGTCATCCGGGGACTACGCCTACACTTGACTGTGTCAAAAGCGGCGCGACCACGACGTGTAGAAATAAGCAATATTTTTGATTTTGCAAAGTACCTGTACACTAAACCGGATAAGACATTTATGCGGATTTTATCCACATTCATTTGATGGTGCTCGCGCAACAAGAACTCGTGGCCATCCTTCGGCTCGCGAGGACTGACCGACAGCGCCGTACTGTGATGGCCATAATGGCCTCACACATTGTTGAACGACCCATCATCCCCAACGTACGATTCGACCTTGCCAGCATGACCGACGCCAACGCAATCCTCAACTTCCGTTTCGATGTGGCTGGCGTTCAGAAGCTCGCCTTCCTCCTCGGCCTCCCTGCGGCGGTTATTACTGCTAGCCGTAACCGCGTGTTGAGAGATGAAGCTTTATGCATCGTCCTCTCCCGTATGGCTTTTCCAACCCGGTTTTTCGACATGGCGCAGACCTTTGGGCGATCACGATCTGTGCTGTGTGATGTTTTCCTCCACGTTTTGAACGAGTTGTACGACCGGTGGAATCCATTGCTGTACTTCAACACCAACCTTGTGGCAAAAAACATTTACCGATACTGCGCCGCCATCAACTCGCGTGGCGCCCAAACTAGTCGTGTGTTTGGGTTTATCGACGGCACGAAGCTGCAAGTGTGTCGGATGGGACCATCGGGAAACGGGGACAATTTGCAGAAGGAGATCTACAGTGGCCATAAGCGGATGCATTGTCTGAACTACCAAGCCGTCACTGCCCCCGATGGCCTTTGCATTCATTTTTTTGGGCCGGTGGAAGGACGGCGCCACGACACGAAGTTGCTCCGTGAGAGCGGGCTGCTCGAGTTCCTTTCCCGGAACTCACACATCTTCTCGGAGAAGTGCATCTACGGCGACCCTGCATACGGCGTGTCCCTGTTTTTGGTGTCTGGGTTCAAAGGCAATGAGCTCAACAATTCCCAAAAGGAATTCAACAAGTCGATGAGTCGAGTTCGCCAGTGTGTGAAGTGGAATTTCAAAGTTGTGAAAACACTTTGGTCTTTCATTACATTCAAAGGGTTGTCCAAAATTCGATTGTCTCCAGTGGCAAGAGTAGTTAGTGTTGCCATGCTTTTGACAAACTGTCATTGCTGTTACTTTGGTGGAAACCAAATTAGCCAGTATTTTGACGTTGAACCACCAAGCCTTGAGATTTATCTCGATACGATTGATATTGTAGACATTTAACATCGATAATTGCCTTGTCTTTTAAATGGCATTGTTCTTAGACTGTAATATCGCCACTAAGGGGTGTCATGCTGCATGCGCATTTGGTCCCTATACATTTCTCTCTCACGTTGACGTTCCTCGTACTCAATGGCACGCACAGCTTCCCGCTCCTTCCGATCCGTTTCGTACTGATGCTGTCGGAACTTGAGGTCAGCAGCGCTGTCATCTTGCATTATTTTCATCATCTTCATGACGACACTGCCACCACCACCGCCACCAGCGCTGGAACCATCAGCATCTGTCGGTCCCGCCTTCCGTTTACCCAACGACTGGAGTGCCTCCTCGCGTATGGTAGCGCCCATATTCTCGATGCAATCGGCTTCTTGTTGGGCTGCGACAAGGCGCTCTTTGTCTTGTGCCTTGGAGTCTTCATACACCGCCAACAGCTCGTCCAACAGCTGGGTCTTCTCGTCGTGGTCTTCTTCGATCCCTGATGCACGTGCCGACACGTCGTTGTTCGCACGGTGGCCTTCCATCAGCAGAGTGAATCTGTTCAGGGCTCGTTTGCCGTCGAAGCCAGGCCGAGCAAAGTCGTGGTTCGTCGACACAGCGTCGGCCACAGCGTTCCACGCCAGCATGACGGAACCTCATTTTGCAGTGAATGGGAGTCTCGCGTTGACCTCCCGCAAGATCAATATGTCCTCGGCATCCGAGAGTCTTGACGGGCGTGGGCATGGTGGTCGTCTCACGATTTGGAATGGCTGGTTGGTTTTAGGTGTAGTTACAGGTGACCCTACAATTGGCCCATTTCAGGGTTGAATAATAAGGTCTTGTAGGTGTTTCAATTAGGTCTGGCAGTTCGAACTCTGCTTTTGTCAAACGTATGTTTCAATAGTGTAGGCATAGTCCACGGACGACATGCAAAATCTCTCTATTGTTTGCAGAGGGATAAATTCGATGATAGCAACCTTCGGAGTAAGTATCATTAAAGGCGCCACAGTACTAAGATTTTATTTGCTCGGAAATTCACCAATGACTAACACATGTTTTTGCGAGTAAGTGTGCTCGGAAAGTGTCTCTCTGGACTATTTTGCTCGAAATCGATCCATTCTAAGGCGTGCTTGGAAATGCTCCATCGTTTGCTCGAAAAAAATGCGCACCCAGAGACACTATTGTGATTTCACCAATGCAACCCCGAACAAGAATTCACGAGGAAACTCACAGTTCTGAAATGAAATCTATCGACTAACTTGTTTACACTGTCCATTATCAGTCCTAATAAGGTGACGGACACGCTGCTAACCTGTGAGTACACGCTCCTTATATAAAATCCACCCTACATGGAGACGAACTGATCCACCAAGCGCTTTCCCAATGCACCGACCGAATCATAAGTGGTGGTCAACTGGTTAGAAATGCAAGTCCTATCGTACGTAGTGCGGTGTACGTTTTCCTGATACCGACGACGACGTTAATGCTGTTTGCGCTTGTCGTCCTTTCCGAGCGGAACTTCCGGTTGATCGACGTAGTTGAACTTGGCGAAGTCAGAGGTCACATATTGCTGGCCATTCAATGCCACGTAGAACCGCAACTCGCCATCGGCGATGGCGCCAAGCTGCTGCAGCTCCACCTTGTAGCATGGCCCCGCTTTGTCTTCGCGGTATTCCGCTTCCACTTGCTAAAACACAGCAATTTGTTGCCCAGAATCCTCTGTAGCTGGACGGCTTACCGCTGAAAACGACCCGTCGGCCTTTTCCACTTTGCACTTCATCCACTGGGCAGATTTCAAGTACGACCCTGTCAACGTCAGCATCGTTCCTGGGGCAGCCAGTTGCGGCTCGATGGATCGGATATGCGGGTTCCCTACAAAGCAAACCAAACAACAAGATTGAAAACCACCCATGATAACAAACACAAATCGAAGACGCTATGAAGGTAGTACGGTAAAACTCAAAGGGCACAGTCGATTCGCCAAACGAGGTGCCACTGAGCGCGAGCCGAATCGTGGCGGGATTGAACGCCATCGCAGGCTGTACGGCGGTCGCAATGTTGTCGTCGTGGTCGACTGGAACGAACGACGGGACTTGAAAAGTCACGATGCTATGGGCGGACTACAACGACGATCAGAAGCCCCCCTGTATCCACCACGACTAGTACTACTACTTAGTACCTCCACTGCTTGGCGGACAAACGAAGGGACGGTTTGCAAGTCCCCGTCGTATTCTACGCTCACGAGCGCATCATCCGTGTCAAAGCCAAGATGGGAAGCCCCCATCGACACAACCGTCCCCCCTGTGATCGGTCCGCTGCTTGGACTGACGTCGGTGAGGGTGCCGTGGGAGTAGCCATGTAAAACGTTGGACCCCCCGATTGGAGGAAGGAACGTGGCGCCGCCATTGACTGACACGAGCACTTGTGCTTGGAAAGACTCGAGGTCGAAGGGAAACGTGGACGGGGTGCTGCTGCTGTTGGCATCAGCCATTTTTTGGCAGGTCTATGAAACGAAAATGAGACCAAATTCATGTGGCCGTTCTTGTCGTACGTTGTCCTCGGAGTCAGACTGGTCCCCTTCTGGAACGATAGTGTGAACCGCCCACTCAGAACATGCCGGCACAGTGCACACTATGATTTGGTCGTCCAATTTCACAGACAGGATCGACAAATTTGCCGTGGCCACGCGATGCCACGGCGCGTTCCTAAATGCAATCATGCATGAAAAATACGTTCCAGAGCCCGAGCCACGTACTCGGTGTGGGGTTCACGATACGTTGCTTTGCACACAAGCGCTCCAATGTCAAACATTTGATTCACATGGATGGCGACAGTGAGTGCCTTGTCATTCAGCGGCATCGAATTCGGCGTGCAGCGCGTAATCGTGGCCTACATTGCGAGTTGGCCTTCTTTTCTTTATATATATATCCCATTTACGTTGTGAAAATAGACGATTTGAGGTGACGGAGCCCCTTGCAGTTGGACCAGGTCAAAATCTTGTCCGTTAAACGACACTTGCAAGTGGCACGGTACAAGCTCCGACGCTGACATGAACTGTTACTACAGTGATATGGTGTACTGTAGTCGAACGAACGTACGGGTAGGATTGAAAGCTGGGGGGGCAAATACGATGCTAAACTTTGCGATATGGTCGTCACTCGGGTCGACCTCTTGATTTTCTTTAGATGGGGTCACCTCCACACTAGTAGGTTTTTCTTGGACTTGAAAAATGAGATTTCGTCGCTCGTACCTGCCGTAGGCGCCAGCCACTTGGATGGGTGCAAACTGGGGGTTCAACGGAATCCATTTGATTAATGGGCGGTCATGAGCCTTTGGCTTGTCCCCAGTCAACGTCAGGTGGACTGGAGGGGTCTGGTCAAAACGAATTTCTTGGTGGGAAATGTGCGTGATCGTAGGAGCCACAAAAACTTCAAACGGCGTTCCATTGGTCGTGAAATGTTTTCCATTCATCGCAACTTCAACCGCAAACTCCCCCGTGACGCTGAATTTGGGCAGCACACACGACACCTAGATTACACGACATGAATGGCACGACCACAAATTGTTGACGGGGGGGTGGAATCTTACAACGCCAGTCTCGGGATCAAATGTACCCAACGCCGCTCGAGGAAGCCTGCCTTCTGTCAGAGGCGCAAAACGCACGGTGACGTCATCGCTTTCCCAAAACCCGGACCCAAACACATGGAGTTTGCCGCCCCCCGACAACGACCCACAACGTGGATACACCCCCGACACCTACCCCTTGGCGCATGGCCAATTTGATCGTGTCGTTCGTAATAAACACATATATACTGTTTACCCATGTTGGAGCAAATATCAGGATATTGTTCCACGAGCATGCCACCGATTGCACATACATGTCCTTCAAGCTTTCGACGAGGGTTGGCGCTGGCACGGGCGACGTGTCGGCGTTGGCCGCGTGGGCAAGTTTCCCATGGCAAGCGTTACCCCACGTTAAGAGCCGGCCCTCCCCTTGTCGTGTGACACGTCATATAAGTTTTCATGGATCATTCTCACTCGTACGTGTAATTGCGGCCGAGTAATTTCCACCGGCAGATACGTGCATCACGGGCATGCAAGGGGTGACTTGCTGGGGGAGAAAGCGTGTCTTGGTGTCGCCGACGCCCAGCTGACCATATTGGTTGAACCCCCAGGAAAACAGTCGGCCAGCTCGAGTTATCGCTAGGGTGTGAGCCCAGCCACAGGCAATTTCGACAAAAATGTCGTCGGGGGCGTCGCTTGCCAACGTCAACTTTGGTTGAAATACCTTGGTGCAGCGTCCTAGTTTCAAACACGATTCAATATCGAAGGTTCCATCTACGTCTAATACTACTAGCCAACCTGTGCCCAATTGACCCGATTGACCTTCCCCAAACGAGTAGATCTCACCAGGAACCGTCAACACGACTGTAAACTTATCGCCACAGGCAACTTGCTTGCACTTCTCGTTCAAGAACGCTGCAACGTGCTTTGGGCGGTGAAACACCCCATTGAGCTTTTCGTTGACACATACAGGCGCAATGACGCTGGAATGCCCTAGTTGGCCTTCAAAGTTGCGTCCCCAAGTGTACAGACCCCCCGAGTTGGACAATGCAGCGGTATGATACCCCCCACATGCAACCTATGCAACAATTGAGGCCTGCAAGCTGTGAAGCAGGTACGTACTGAAGAAAACACAATATGGTCGAGTTGACTAAGCCGCGAAGGATGATCCTTCGTCGTGATTGTCCCTCCAAGTCCGAGCTGGCCGTACTGAGCGTCGCCCCAAACAAAGAGATGGCCGTCCAGGCTAAGCGCAATTGTGTGCGATTTCCCAAAGGCCAATTGGTGAATTTTTACGTCGTTCAGCGACTTCGTTAGTCCACGAATCTGTGCATGAACGTCAAGACAAAGTATTTGAGAGCAAACAGCCCTACCTCAGTCGACAGCCACTCGAAGTCCCAACCATCACACAGTGCAAGTAGTGACGAGTAATTTCCATACACAGCCTTTATCTTGCGGCCTTGCGTAAAAACGTATTTCTTGCACTCTCCATTTGATTGTTCATGGGTCCCACTCAAGTAGAGATGGCCAGTCATTCCTTCCCATCCCATTGTAGCTCGCATCGCGAATGTGCCCTTTGGCGAAACGTCGCATGCCGTGCAGTCAAAATAGTCGATAAAATTTTGGACAGCCTGCAGTACTTTTCTACAAACATTAGCTGGAAATGACCAAATCAGCGAACCTGAGACAAATTGACAGCATTATAACACGTGCTTGATCGCACTGCTGTACAGTACTGGTAGCTCTTTGAGAATTCCCACGGTCCGACTGTAAACGCTATTTTACCGTTCTATCCGAATATTTACAGTTTGACAGCTTAGAACAGTCGTCATTCTCAACCGCATCGTCCAAGGTGAGTTCATACCGTTATACCTATAGCGACCTTGTCTAACTAAAGAGCTGGTGGACTTTGCTTCCCCGCTCAATGGATTGAGACCGAAATAGTCAGTTCTTACACATTCGAGATATTCAGCCTGGCTATCAGGACCAGGTGACCGTAAAGTACAGTTTCGACGAATTAGCCAATAAACATATCAACAATAATGGACAATTTTGTACAATCATAAGTGTCATGTTGTTGATTAATTGAGTTTTACTACCTTATTAGTTGAGCAAAGGCCCTAATGAACTAACTAAAGTCATGTTGTTGACATAAAGCCAACAACTCACTTTCCTTCGAGCAAACCAGTCCATCAAACGCGATCATGGCTTAGAATTCCCTAAATTCGCCGAGTGCGTTACCAACCCAACCAAAGCCAAACCTTCGCTTAGCAGAGACACAAGTATTTAGGTGTGAATAACCGATTTTCCTTCCTACTTCAATAAGGTACTGAAAAAGGTTTGGGTTAAGGTCTCATTACGCCGTCATATTGGTGGGTATAGTCCTGTGTGTAGTTGACAAACATCAGGCTACCGATTTTCGATTCTACTTTCAACCTACACAAACAACTTCCACAAGCTCAGCAATTATCACCAGTAGTTTGGTTTCGACTTCGGGTGTGCGTTGGCTGCCAAGGTCGACGAATTCGTCGACGTTCGATGCACTGCCAAGTTGCACGAGCTGTGTGGGGTACGTGCACACGCGGAAAGCACGTCGA